TCCCTCCTTAAGCCAAATCCTATGAGAATAAGATTCACTCATTCTCTTTCACCTTCCCCCACCTCCCCTCCACTGTAAAAGCCTTTTTCTTATCTGTTTCATGTGAGATATTTTACCTCATTCTACTTCTCCCTTTCTCCTTCTCCCAGTATAATCCTCTCCTTAATTTTATTTTCCAGATATCACCCCTTCATCTTCAACTCACCCTGTGCCCTCTATCTATCTCTCTATATATACATATAATTTTTTTCCCTCTCACTACCCTAATGACCCCAGTCTTTAAATACACATTTTTGCTACCATTCAGCTCCATAAAGGTAAGGAGGAATCCCTGGGTTCTTGGGACCATTTTCTAAACTCAGACTTTCCACTCAACCCAGTAACCAAGGCCATAGCTCTTTCCACTTGCACAGAGAATGCTAGTTGGATAAACTGCAGTTTAAGCCATTTGGTAAAGTGATTATAGATAGCCATCACTTCAAAGGAAAGGCAAAAGTGTAGACCACAACAAGTGTGTTCTAGTGACCCCAGGTCTAATCCTTCCTCACTTCAAACTTCTTGCTGTCACATGATCTGTTCTCAGTAGCTTTGGGATCTTTCCTCCCAAGCTTAAGAAAAATCCCATTGCTGTCGTCTCTTTTTTAGCAAAGTTCAGTGTGTGGTTGGGAAGAGCTTGTCTGAAGGGAAGGGGGCATTTGAGCATGACACCAAACCAGCTCCATCTTCCTTTGGTCATATTTCCAGAAAAAATGGAGTGTCTCCTCCCCTCCATGGGAGTAGACTTGATGCCTTCCTTGCCTCTTTTTAACTAAAGGGGATATGAGCCATTATCCTAAGGCAGTGGTTAGCATTAGTAGGATGGGTTTCTGCTTCATTAATTAGCCCTGTGTTGCCTGACTCGAGTTCTCTAAGCCTCTTTTTTTTGTAAAATATAGATTGAAGAGTGAAGACTCTTCAACAGGCCTGTGATTTCCTTGGTTGTCCCTTTGCTTCTTGAGACTTCTGTGGGCAACAGTATGTGTGGTGGGGTTGTTTGTCTGTGGCTGAACCTCAGACTGCTACTAAGTATGGTGGGAGAGGTTGGGGATGGTGGTCTGGGGGGGATGGGTCCACAAAGTGATTTTAGGGCCACACTTTTCCTTCCCAGTTCTTTTCCTGTCCCACACCTCATTCTAAGTTTGGAAATACCTATATCCAAGAGACCAACTCTTCTGGGGAAGGGTGGTGTCATTCCTCTCCTGCCCAATCATAGGGAAAAGAATAACTCTGGTTACCAGGGCCTGGTATTTTAGTTTTAGACAGCAGAGGGCAGAGGAATCTTTATCCAGAAAGAAACGTGAATGAAACAATTTTTCTTGGTTTGTGCGTGTCTGTCTTGCTTTCTAGCTGTACACAGAGAAGTGACCATAACTAGGTTTGTAGGAACTTTGTGGATTTGTTTTGTGTCAGAGTAAGGTCAAGGGGATTAAGTTCTGTTCAGGTTAGCAGAGAGGAGGGTCTTTGGGTCCATATATATAGATCACAGAAAAGGACAATTTGGGATGCCAAAAGGATAATCCTTTCTCTGCCAGCCCAATCTCTCCTTTTTGTATCTTCCCTTCCAAGTAAACAACTCTAAATGAATGGTCTCATATCCATTTCCTTTATCTTTTTGTGGAGGTGTGGGGACCACATGGTGAAAACTGCCAAAACAGTTCTCCTAGTTTCTGATGGATTGGAATTCTAAGACTGGATTAGGTCATCCTGACCATACTTTTGTGGTAGTAATGCCAGTGGGGAGAGTAGGTCAGACAGCTAACCATAGGGCTGTGTTAGGGTGGGGTCAAATCCCGGAAACATGTTAGGGGAAAACTAGCTAACTTTGATCTTCAACCTTTGTATCTCAGAGCATCTTTTGGTGTACTATTTCATCCTCATGGAGGGGACAGTTAGTTTAGGCTAGTGGGATAGGGATGGCCTTGCCTCTTTCAGTCCAATTCCCCAACACTGTAAAGCCTTCCAGCTAACCTCATGAGAAAGAGGAGCCACTGGAGAGCAAGCAGTGGTGTTGAAGCCTAGTTTTCTGTTCCTTCACACCCTGAACCAGTGCTTGTTTTTTCCTTCTTTCCAGGTGAACTGTCTAGAGCCCCACCCTCACCTGCCTGTGCTGGCCACTAGTGGTCTAGACCATGATGTCAAGATCTGGGCACCTACTGCTGAGGCTTCCACGGAGCTAACTGGGTTAAAGGATGTGAGTGACAGCAAAAGTGGAGCACTTTTCCCATTCTCTAGTGCCCCTTTTGTTGACTCCTCTTTGTAAGAGGGTGTCCTAACAGTTTTCTGCCTTTGTCCTTCCACACATTATTGCCATTGTCCTCCCTAGACCTATGCCCATCCCAGTTTTAAAGGTCTTTCCATAATTGGTAGTAGGAGGAAGAATCTTTTGGAAGAAACATTCACTACCAAATCCCTTGCCTGTTTAGTTCTGAACCCAGTGGCTCTTTCCCTAGCCCTAGCCACCCTCTATACAAATAGCCAGGGGGTTTTCCTCCAATGGGGATCCCAGTTTGGGGGATGACACCTCCAGGCTTCTAGGTCAGGCCATGGGGTTCTAGGTACTTCCTGCTTAGGCTTTATTCTCTTGGGTTCCAGGTGATTAAGAAGAACAAACGGGAGCGGGATGAGGACAGCCTGCACCACACTGACCTGTTTGATAGCCACATGCTCTGGTTCCTCATGCACCATCTGAGGCAGAGACGACATCACCGGGTAAGTTGGAGTGGGGTAGGGAAGATCTCTTCTATCCCATTGTTCCCCAAGAATATTTTTCTTAGTGAATTGGATTCCCCTCATTAGGAAGGTTAGAAAAAGCTACTGACCATCTCCTTCCCAACCCTTACTTCTGTTCTGAAGAGAAAAACGGAAGGTCTGAGTTGGGTTTCTCTTGCCTACCCCAGCCACCCCAAGAGAGCCACATGACTGCATTTTCCTTCGAAAGCCCTAATGTATTCAAACAAGAGCCATCACCAAATAGAGCTGGCACCTATGTCCTCTCCCTCCCCTGAAAGAGACATGGTAGTATTGTCTCTCTGTGTATAGGTAGGGTGCTAGGTTTCAGTGACCTATTCAAATCTGAGGAGTTCCTAGCTTCCTCTCATAGGGATGTTGTTGGGAAGGGGGAAGGTGTTTGGAATCCTTGGATCCTTGCGATGACTCCTGTGGGCCCCAGTGTCCCCTTTCCTGGTTTGAAGGGCCTGCCCTGGGGGTAGTCACTAACACAACCCCTCAACCCACCAACAGCGCTGGCGGGAGCCTGGGGTCGGGGCCGCAGATGGAGACTCAGATGAGTCCCCCAGCTCCTCAGACACATCGGACGAGGAGGAGGGCCCAGACCGGGTGCAGTGCATGCCATCCTGAGAGCCCTGAACTCCCTCGGGAGGGATGAGGGGTAGGGAAGGGGAGGCAGCTGAGGCCAGCCTGCCAACCCGCTCTGCTTCTCAGGGGGCATGAGGCTGCCCCTCTCCTGACCCACCTGAGGCCCTCACATTCAGCAGCATTGCACTTTGGACTTTTTGCTTTAGAAAAAAAAAGACATCCAAGGGGGAAGGACAGACTGGAGGGAGACAAAACATTAAGATGCACAAGGGACGGGTTGGGGGTTGAGGCCAAGAATGTGGTTCGGTGGAGAGGTGCACGGGACTCTGCAAAAATGGCCTCTCCCCAAATCTTTTCTTTTTCTTTTCTTTCCTTTTTTTTGAGCCTGTTGTGTTAGTGTGGTTTTTTTTTGGGGGGGGGGTGGCAGTGTTACTTTTCCTCTCTTCCTTGTTTCTTCTGGGGAGAAGGCCAAGGATCTTTGGCTGCTCAGCACCATGAAGCCAGAGTGGGAATGGAGGGGCCACTCCCTCTTTGGTTTAGGTTTTTTGATTTTTTTTTTTTTTAAAGCCTGGTAAAGTTGCATTTTCTCCTCCTTCCCCCCAATCCCTGCTTGTTCAGGGTAGTTTCACTCCCTGCTAGGACTCCCGCCTCTGAGCCCCAACTGTCCCACTCACCTCTTCCCCTATTTGTCCTCCTTTACATATCACAGTGTTTTGCACTTGATTTTGCCCCTTCTCCTTTCATCTTCCACCTCACCACCTAAAACAGGGTGGCAAAGAGGTGGGGGAGAGGGATGAGGATAGGGGGAGGGGGTGGGATAGGAAGGATGTTAACTTTTCTGTTACTTTTAAGGAAATGTATGTTTGGCGGCGGTGACGTCCCTTTCCTTATCACTGTTAGAGGCCTAATTTTATATCTATAAATATATTAAAAAGCAAATCAAACTTGGATGTCATCAAGTTAAAATTATTGTCAAAGTTTAAATACATGTTCTCTATGAATGCAATAAAGGGAATGGGTGGGAGGGTTTTAAGGAAGGGAGTGGGATTAGTGATGGGGATGACAAGTGGAGTTAGCTTCCCCTTTTTGTCCCCAACATACCTATTTGGGGTTTTCTTTTTGGATCCTAGGAGTCTGGAGGAGGGGAATCTCCCCAACTTTAGAGCACAGCTGCCATGAGAAATAGGCAGGGCTTCTCATTACAACTTGGATGCTATCCTTCCTTTAGCCCTTGAAACCTTGCCTCTACTTAGTTTTGGTGTTTTGGTTTTGTTTTTTGGTTTTGTTTTGTTTTTTTTCTTTTGGTGGGGTGGTGGGGTGGTTCAGGGAATCTCTTCTCTTTGACCCATGTGCCAGACACCCATTAGAAGCACGACTTGACTGGGCCCTAGAAAGGCTGTCACTCTTTAAAATCTTGTTTCTTGTTCCCTTAAAGAGACACACGTAACCCCCCCCCCCACATAGCCCACACTTCATCCAGCCCCTCCCTCCTTTCACTCCTTCCAGTAGGAGCCAGTGCTCCAAGAGAAAGGTGAGACTTTGAGGCTTCACAGATTCCCCTTCCCGCAACCCCCAGTTTGGGGACACCAAGCAGGAAGGCTCAGCCCTGTGGAAGAGTTGGCCAGTAGCAGAGTAAAATGGCTTGGGGATAGGTCCTGTTGCCTAGGCATTTGGTCAGGAAATAAAGAGTAATCAAAATGGAATTATGCCCTGAAGCCCGTGGCCCTGAGTGTTCTAGCTGCTCTCGCTGTGCTTCCTTCAGTCCCAGCCCTCCACCAAGCCCAGTCAGGGAACACGCTTCCTTGGCCTGGAACTGTAGATCTCCCTCTAGGCCTGCCCAGTTGAGGAAGACGAGTTGGATAAAGATGTCCTTAGACTCTTCTCTCTCTAACACTTTACCCAGCAGCTCTCAGACCAGATGTTAACTAATCTACCCACCTCCATGTAGGATGTGAGGGAAGACTGAGTGGTCTGAGTCCCTTATTGCTTCGAGGGTAAAGTGGGTTGATTGGGGAATAAAGCACTCTGGAGTCTGTTGTATTTTCTCTCAGTAAAAGCTTTTTTTCCTGACTTTCTTTGCTGCCATGTGTGGTATATGGGATCTTCACTGAGGGCCCTTGCTCTTTCCTGCATAAGTGCCTGGCTCTCTTTGACCTCTTTTTCTACCCTCAGGAATTCTCACAAGTGGCCTCAAAAGAGGGTTTTTAGACTCATAGAGCCCAAACCTGAGCCTGGCACTTTGTAAGCTTAATGAAGTTTATGAAGGGGAGCCACTCCAACTTTCCCTCCAGTTACCCAGACCCCTGACATTAATAAAACCAGTTACAAAAGAGGCAGCATTTGATGCAGTGGGGCTTTCATGAGTTTCTGAAATCTGACTTCTCATAGATACTCCAGAACCATGGATGTATTCAGTACAATCACCTTTATTCCAGGGTTAGAACAAGGCCGTGCACACCGCAGACAGAGGGGCACAGGGAAAGGGGGTGACTCTCACTGCAGTGCAGGATAGTGGGAGGATAGGTTAGTATTTTTTTTTTAAACTGTCTTAAGAGAAACCAAGGGACAGGGAATTTTAAAACTAAGGTGACCCTGCCTTCGTTCCCTCCCAGCTAAGGGCAGGGTGGCACCCCTCCTAGCCCAACATTATGTACCCCCTAACATAGGAAGTAAGAGCTCATTTCTCTTCCCAATCCCACCAGTCTCCTGTTTGCTTCGGGGAAAAGGAGCCAGTGTCCCCTTAACTCCTAGGGAAAAGCCAGACAGGACTAAGGGGTCTTAGGAAGGTCCTTAAGGCAAAACCGCGGAGTGTGTTAGAGGTGTTTGTTAAGGCAGGTGTCTGCAGCAGTGGCAGGATGGGGGCAGTGGGTATAAAGGTTGGGGTATTTGGGGTAATGGGTAACCTCTAGCTCTCTGGCTTCTTCCCTCTTCCAATAGCTGGCTTATTCCTCTCACTTACTTTCTACTCTTACTTCCTCCCTAGAAGCATCAGACACAAAAACTTACTCTAAATCAGCTCT